AAGGAACTTGTTGTTACTTTAGCAATGTATAGTATCAGTTTAAAATTAAGTATTTGGGACAGACGTATTTCTCTGGTTCGAATGTATTTTTCTAGTGTAGATGGGTCTTGCAGCCAGTCGGTTAGTGAGGTCTACAGTTGTGTCCAATGAGTTTGACCAAATAAACATTAAGATTACTATACTTGACTTTTTGTTAGTTGTTTGTTATAGTTGACAACAGTAGTTAATTTACAAATGGCAAAGAAAAAACCACATCATAAAAAACACAGTCCGTTTAGTCAAGTAGGCTTGTACACCTCACCAAAAAAATACTGTACTATATGCTAATTGTAATCTATGTTTATATAGATAATTTAAAAAGAAGTTATGTCATGCGTACAAATAGAGTTTTAAGCTTTTTGGAATAAATATATTGTTTTCATCATTAAATTAAACAAAATTGGCGTAAAAACATACAAAAATTATGATTTATTTTACAAATGAGTGATTCATATTGTTGCATACAAAAAGTTTTTAAATAATCGTCTATTGAATTTACTGTTATATTTTATCATGTTTTCGGATAGAATAGGTAATTTAAAAACTTTTTTACCTCTGACATTTTTTCGATAAACCCACTCGTTTAGGAGGGTACAGCCTATGGAAAAATGACTTCCGGTGTAATACTTTTAATACTTTTTAGTACATTTTACATCATGTAGCTCATAAACAAGTAAGTTTATAGCAAAAATGCGAAGAGTAAAAAAGTCTAACAATTGCATCCACATTCCAAAAAGACCATAAAATTCATTAAAAATATGAATTATACTATTTAAAAAATGGCGGCAAACTTGAAAAGTGGACAACTTTTTATTTTATAGTCTTTAAGGAATGTAGATGCAATTCTAAGACTAATTTACTTTTTGCAATTTTGCTCTAAACTTACTTGTTTAGGAGCTACATGATGTAAAATGTACACCGGAAGTCATTTTTCCATATGCTGTACTCCTAAACGAGTGGGTTTATCGAAAAAATGTCAAGGCTAAAAACGTTTTTAAACTGCATATTCTATCCGAAAACATGATAAAAAAACTAAAATCATATTTTTAACTGCCACAAAAAATAAAGGAATGTATTTTAAAGTTTTCTCTAATTCTTACCGTTTCCGATTTCCCAATGGTGGCCTCCTTGAGTTGATCACCCTGTATATATGAATTTGAACGGATGGTGTTTTTGGCCTCTAGGGGCCTCAAAACGAAAAATTAAATCGGTCCCGGGTCCAGGTGTTACTATAAGTACTACGGTAATAGCTTATTCCCTATATGGGAAATTCGCCAAAAACCTAATAGTTATATAGAACAATATTACATTCAACCAGCTGTTAGTTAAAACAAATTATATGGGACTAAAACAAATCAATGATTACAAAGATCCCTTTAAAAAATAATTTGAACATCCTACTATTTTACTATGCATATTTAATTAATCTGCCATACTCATACCTAAGAATTAAATGTATCAATGGTCATCATTACACATAGTATAAATAAGTCAACTCTAAATATGTGTCTTTACATTTGTTTTCAAATGCTGAATTTGTGTCACAAATGATGAATGTTTACAGCTGTTATGTTAAGCAAATTATTTTGTACTAAAAGCTAGCTTAGAAGGTTGGCGTCGGCTGGTAGACTTTTTAAAAATTAAAACTGAATTTCTAAAAAACTGGGACCCTTAATTATAATTATGGCTTTGACATTCCCTAGTTCTCAAAATTATCTTTCTTTCATCACAAAAATTATGAAAATCCGTCGACTGGTTGATTCAGAATGTGAAAAAACCCCCATTTACGTTTTAATAATATATATGATAGTTGGACAGGTTTCAACCCTTCCGAGGCGTAATACATTTACACAGTTTATGTGTAGACTACATTATAACTCATAAAATAGTTCTAAAATTAAATGGATCTCCTTTTACAAACGTATATAATAACCAGAAATTTTCAGATCGTCCTTGCGTGTATTTCATGCCACAAATTTTGACGAAAGGCTTTTTATTACATCAACTATACCTATTTACAGTGTTTACCAAACAGTTGGCAAGAAGCATGAATAGATAAGCTATGTACCAAATATGATAATTTTAGCTCTATTCTAATTATGACAAAACACGAAGTAACTAAAAGCGAGTTTTGTTGGTGTAGTAAGCGTTGCAGGAGGTCTACTTTACACTGAATCGACGTTCACTTTTATTGCTTTTGATCTTCCGGCACTGTTGACTCAGCGAAACTGAACATGTATTTTACCGTATTTTGTAAAATAAAAAATATTAAAACTGCTGTTGCATTAGATCAAATTCCCAATAAGTCAATTGCTTTAACATAGACCACGTTTTTAGCTCGGACTGTAGTATTTGACTTACTGGGACTTTTGATCTACATACACTGCAAACATTGTAGTTTTTGACCTAGCGGCACAGGTATAAATTATTTGATCTTCCGGGACTGTTGACTTCCAGCAACATTCCCGATAAAACATATAGTCCCTTAGTAGATTTCCCATCCTTATGGAACAGCTGAAGCCAATTTTATTGTTAGTTCTGTCTGGTTTTCTGTAGATGCCGTGTTTTGTTTACAATTTGTTTCTCGTTATTTCAGTAATTTAAAACCTCGTTTAACCAAATAAAACTATCTAATCATAAACGATAACTCGTCCGCTAGCTATATAACCAAACAGTGAGACACAGAAAATAATAGAAACAAATTGTAAACAAAACACAACATCTACAGAAAACCGGACAGAACTAACAATAAAATTGGCTTCAGCTGTTCTATAAAGATGGGAAATCTACTAAGGGACTATGTTTTATTTATAGTATAACAAAGTATTTAAGTAGGCCTACCTATTTAACTTTTATGGTCTTTGAAATGATTTTTTTATATACTAATATAAGTTACATAGGCTATTACAGAAAAGTTTTAAGATAGCCGCTTAAGTTAACTTGAATTGAAACAAATTAGGGTACTTTCCTGTTAAAGGGAACATTCATTATATCAATGATTTTTTTCTTGATATATTGATATTTTTGTTTTCCTTTACGATACATTACAAATTGACAGCTGATCTTAATGCTAAAATATAATCTATTATATGGATTAAGAAATGAAATTCTTCTAAGCTAACCTAACAAAACCAACCAAACTTGCTGTAACATTTAAAAATTCCGTTTGATAACACTGCTAACAGAAAAGGTGAGTTGAGAATATTAAACAGAGTTTTTTAAATGTTACAGCAAGTTTGGTTAGTTTTGTTAGATTGGTTTAGAACAGTTTCATTTCAATATATTTTTTTAATTATTGTTTGTTGATTTTTAACAATATTTATATAAGCTATAGTAGTTGTCAGCTGATGTGTTTCAATTAGTTAATATCGATATACCGAGAAAAAAATAATCGATAATAATGAATGTTCCCTTTAACAGAAAAGTACCCAAATTAGATTAACTTAGGCCCTAAATTGATTCTAAACTGTGTATTGCCAGGTTATGTTTCAATATAAAGTTAATTCGATTTTTGAGATATGTACAAGCTCCGTATTTTCATTCAATGGAAATATAGCCTAGCCCGTATTAAGAACTGCAGCTTATGCGGCTATACATTATAAATAATGGAGATGTGCAAGCCTGCACATAACGCTACATTGAAAGTGAATTAGCCCAAACTTAAAGACAACACAACACAAAGGCCAAGCTGAGCTCTGGAGATATAAATAGATTAACACCAACTCACCATTTTTTATAATTGTAACTTGTCTGTTTAGGCAACAAAACTTTATGACGACTACTACATTTATATTCAAAAGGCCATTGTGTCAATACAGTAGACTCTCGCTCATCCGGACTAATGTGACGGACGTCCGGTCCGGATTACAAAAAATCCGGACTATCGAGAGTCTAGCAAATACACAGTACCGGTACTGTATATAGCCGTTTTTTCAATTTAGTTCTAGGTCCACAGTAATGATAGCCGGGCATATGCACTTCCACCGGTAATAATCATTACGGCTGAATTTTGTTCCAGGTCCACAGTAATGATAGCCCGGGGGATATGCACTTCCACCGGTAATAATCTTTTTGGCCGAATGTTGTTCCAGGTCCACAGTAATGATAGCCCGGGGGATATGCAATTCCACTGGTAATAATCTTTTCGGCCGAATTTTGTTCCAGGTCCACAGAAATGATAGCCCGGGGGATATGCACTTCCACCGGTAATAATCTTTTCGGCCGAATTTTGTTCCAGGTCCACAGTAATGATAGACAGGGCATATGCACTTCCACCGGTAATAATTTTTACCACCGTGTTATCCGATTTTTTTCATTATTTAAGGTAGTCTCGGTCCCGTTTCGCTTGGATAATCGGACTTCTACTGTACTGTGTCGCTAAAAAAAATCACGATTGCCGATCCGGACTACCGGGAGTCCAGACAAGGCCGATCCGGATGAGCGAGAGCCTACTGTACTATGAATCTGACATTTTTCTCAAGGCTATTTTTTTACAAATAATAGAATTTATAATTATAACAACAAAAAATTAAATGCATTGGATATTTTGGTTTGTTTTACAACTACAAAATAAAATAAAATGTAGATTATGTGCTTTACGTAGATTATATTATCAAATGTATTGTTATTGGTAATTTTACTTTTTCATACAACTTTTATCGTAGTTTTGCAACAAAATAATTTATCATCTAACCTTGATTTTTTTTTGTTAAAATAACTAGTATTTTAGCATTTAATTTTCAAATACAAATTGTTTATTGTTAAAGATGTCTTATTATTTTATCTTCTTTTGGTTCAATTCTCACAACTGTATGGTCCAGAATTCTAACCAAATACTGGCCCATACTGCCCAGGTCCTGTCCCAGTACTGACCAGTTCTTGCAAATTTTGGAAGTGCCCGGAAACATTTGTTTTAAATGGGTAATTTGACACATTGTATTGCATACAACATTTATACATACCACGATAAAGTAGTGGGTGGAATTAATGAATCCTCTGAAGCTAATTGAAGGATATTGGCAATCACTAGTTCAATTTGCAGAATCGCTTCATAACTGATCTGGTCCATTCTCTTAATCAGAGCAGTTGCCAAGTACCCAAGGCGAAGTTTCAATCTCTCCCCATATTCCTGTAACATATTGAAATCATAGAGTAATCTCAAACATATTTGAGGTGTCTTAACACGTTGAGTGCGGGCATCATCAATAGATGGTGTCCGACACTAGCACTGGTGGCGGACATCAGCTAAAGCTGACGTCATGCCACTCTCTGCACGTTAGTTTAGTGTGAGCTCAGCCATTGCCGGGGAACGTTATAATCGTTGCCAGCCTGTAGCTTAGATTATGTAGCTTTAGTCTGGTGTAGGTTGGTACTAAAATTTCCCGTAAAATCCCGTCTAGCAATACTTTTGTCCCGGTTCCGGCAATTTTCTCTTTTCGAGCCACTTTACAAAGACACTGGCTACGAATCTAGGCAATGCTGCTACCTTTGGGTGTTTCAGTGAACTACGTCCACTCTCGGGCTAACACAGCACAATCACCGCTGCTCTTTTTTTATTCGTCAGACTGAAATATTTTAATGCCAATTGCGTTCACCAATTCAGTTGCGCTGCGGGGCTTCGCCCGGGCCCCGCCGCCATTATCGAGCGCCTGTTTGAAGGTATTCCGCACTGAACGTGTTAAATAACGGATGTAACTAAGATTTACAAAAATTCTATGGGGGATGCATGGAGTATGTTGAATAAATAAATAAAAAGAGATGCCTTGAATTGGTTATTGTTTGTCTGCCAAATCAAATATATTTATTTCCATCCGGTACATTAGTAAAGATTAGTTTACAGAATAAATCACACAAAATATCTAACGAATATCTAGAGCTAACTTAAAATTAACAACATTTGTAAGACAAGTTATTGGAGGTGGTGAGCCTGAAATCTTTGATTGAGCCGAGCCTGAACCAAGCTTTTTGTATGATGCATTTTTCCACATTGCCATGCTACTTTGTAGACTAAGTGTCACAGTTTTAAACTATTGAAATGTTGAACTATAGGGAGTAGGCATATATTGTACATTTAAACAGAGGGAGGATTTAAAACACAAGATAATAAATGTAGTACTGATGTAGTAATAAATTAGAGATAAAATAAATAGACAAAGATAACTTAATAAATGAAGCAATAAATTTACTCGTTTGAATATATGTGAACACATAACGAACTTACAGTTGTTATTTCATATCTATATCGGCTCAGATCCTTACACCTGACAGCCAAGGGTTGTAGCAGCACCCCAACAATCAGCCTTCCCATGTCCTTCTGATCCATCCCTTGTCCTCTGTTTCCCTTGAAAGGATGGCTGCACATTTTCATCACCACATTCATCGTGACTGGACAATAAGATGAAGTTAGATACTTAAGAAACATATACAGGATGTATATAAAGTCCCGCACGGGCTTAATTTTTTCTAAACGACAACAGATATCTCAATAAGATATGGTACCTACATCAACACCACTCCTAAAAATCGATTTTTTCAAGGAAATATTAATTTTCTGTCATATCATGGGGGCGTCCTGCAATGAGTCAGAAGGAAATCTTAAATAGAAGCATAGGTTGATATGTACATCAAATTAAAGGTCTTTACTAGCAGAATATAATGCCGCAAATTTGAACTCAAACAGACAACCGAGCCAAGAATGACAGTTGTTCAAAGATTCATTTAATTTGCATTGCTATTATACGCTTACTCCTCAGGGGGCACTGACCTAGGAATCGGAAGAAAATTGTTAACGTAAGCATAGGTCGATATGCACATCAAATTAAAGGTCTTCACTAGTAGATTACAATGCCGTAAATTCAAGCTCAAAAGAACGCCTGAGTAAAAAATGGCAGTCGTTCAAAGATTCAAAATGGCAGATTCAAGAAATCTTTGAACGGATGCCATTTTGCGCAGGATCAACCTTTTAAGTGCGGTTAGCGGCATTGTATTCTACTAAAAAAGACCTTTAATTTGATGTGCATATTGACCTATGCTTCCATTTAAGATTTTCTTCCGAATCCTTGCGGGACGTCCCCCATGATATGACAGAAAATTCATGGTTCCTTGAAAAAGTAGATTTTTAGGTGTGGTGTTGATGTACCAAATCTTATTGATTTATCTGTTGTCGTTTAGAAAATATTAAGAACCCCGTGAAGTTGGCCCCACCATAATGAACACAAATTATAAAAACACATCCATAATTTAGTGCTGAATTTGTGCTTCTCAAAGGTATATATAAATAGATTTGTGCTCAACAATAACAACTTCACGTTCAGCCCGCCACCAAAGGATTTAACAATGAATTATACATAGAAATTTAGTATAACAAATTTAGTATTTTTGTTGTGCTACAACAATATATAGTTTTTATAATTTGTGCTCTAAAAACAACCGAGTAAATGAGGAAAAACTGCCACTGGTGATGACGTCGTCCGCCCCGCCACATTGAGCAAATCGGTTAAAAATGGCGTCATGATTTAGTGCTCATTTTGTGCTAATAAGTTTTATAATTTGTGCTCTTTTAAAACACCCGAGTAAATGAGGAAAAACTGCTGCCGGTGATGACGGTCATTTTTGCATTTTCTAAATTTCTAAGTTGGCCGCCATGTTGGAAAATGGCGGCCATTTACAAACATCCCATTTACTTATTTTTCAACATCTTTAAAAACAATGGAATGTTCCCCATTTTTAGTTTACTGTAAACGATATTGTTTACAAGATCCTAATGGTGGCACAGTAAAATAAAAAAATAAAACACCCTGTACTGTATGGATTTAATCTAAAAGTGACTATTTTCAACCAATTTGCTCAATGTGGCGGGGCGGATGACGTCATCACAGGCAGCAGTTTTTCCTCATTTACTCGGTTGTTTTTAGGGCACAAATTATAAAAACTATATATTGTTGTAGCATAAAATGAGCACTAAATTTCTATGTATAATACATTGTTAAATCCTTTGGTGGCGGGCTGAACGTAAAGTGAGCCCTGCCAATAGTTTTTATAATTTTTTGGTGCATTATTGTTGAGAAAATTTTTTTATATATACCTTTGAGAAGCACAAATTCAGCACTAAATTATGGACATGTTTTTATAATTTGTGCTCATTATGGTGGGGCCAACTTCACACGAGTAATATTAAGCCCGTGCGGGACTTTATATACACCCTGTATACTTACTTATAGAGCGTGGTAAAAAAGTCCCTGGACAGATAATTTAATAAGACGGCTGTCTGTTTCAGTGTAGGGTTTGTGGTATTGTATTCTGTATTCATAGTCAAAGATTCTACTCATTAATACCACTTGTTATAACTTATTGCCTGCCTTAATCTTTCTTATTTAATTGAACTAACATATGTTTTATTGTCAGTTCAATTAAATAAGAAAGGTTAAGGCAGGCAATAAGTTATAACAAGTGGTATGATCCCACGGATGAAGTAAAGAAAGATATGGCCAGGATGGAAGTTAATGAAGATACCGCAAGAGACAGGGCGACGTGGAGACAGTGTGATGGTGAGGCCAATTACCACTTGGGGTACAAATTGCCATGGGAGTAAGAGTAACAGTAAGTAACATATGTTTTATTTGTTATTATTATGATTTGGAAAATATGTCCAATTTAGTTAAATATACTTCCACTAATTGTCTTTTAGTCTTGTCTTTGAAATTTTAACACCACTCATGTATACAAAGCTATGCTTACATTTGATATTTTCTTCTGACTCCAAGCTCTGGGCTGTCCTAACAATTACTGAATAATTTGTTACAACAATTTTTGTGCCTTGTTCTAAGTTTTGCAGCTCTATATTTATAGTTAAAAAAAATATTTATTGGTCCTGGAATTTTTTTGCCACCCTGTATACTAGTTAAGGTCTGTACAGGTAAACCTCATTCTACTCAGTCCCGCTTTGCACGATAACTCCTTCACTGAAAACGGCAGCCAAAACCCTTGCTTTACACAGTTTGGCTTTGCATGGTGGTCTGCCACAGCACATCTACTGTATCGTAGACAGTGCAAAATACTCTTGACTATTATACTTCTGGCACATATTTGGGACCTATTTACTTGGTCCTAAAAAAAGACATAGTTGAGCTAGAGGCTGGTTTAAAAAAAAAATCTGTCATCAACGTAGAATGTAAATTTACTCACCATTGTAAGTGGGGTCTGATCCAAGAAGGCTGGTTTGAAGAGCGTACAGCTTCTTTAATCTGATAGTCTCATTAGTCGCTACTGTCTCTTCAATCTTTAATACCTGCTTGCGGAAATTTAAGTAGACATTTCTGTAGCGCATTGTGTTGACGATGGGTTTTAAACAACCCTCATGTGGACATACAAGTTGATGCATGGAGATTACATCGTTTTTGGTGTCAATTATCATCTTGTCCATTACACAGCTCAGGACAACATGCTTGCAGTCTTGTAGCACCACATACCTGCCACGGAAAGACATTAGCAGTTAGGTCTTCAAAAACCACTTAATAAAATCCCTGACTAAATTATCTCAACATTCAGGTGTGACTCTGCATATTTCAACCCGAATATGAATTGGTCAAACACGAACAATCACAATATTGCTGCGATTAACAAGAGATCCCGCGAGCACTGATCATCATGATTTGCCCATATTAGCACCCAAGTTTTTGTTTTAATACTGTAGTAATATTTATGGTTCAATCCAGGTTTTTCATGGTTGACAAAATTCAATATTTATCATTAAACAAATAGTGTAGAGAAAAAAAAAAAAAAAAAAAAAAAAAAAAAAAAACTATAGGCCGAACACTTCTCTATTAGACTTGAGTCAAGCACTTTGTTTTTTTGATGTTCTCTACTCATCTAGTACTCAGTCAGGACTTTTACATTTTGTTAACAGTCATTTCCTCACATTAAAATCATATATTAATACTGCTAGGTTAATATTATGGAAAAAAGAATGGATACACATTACACAACCAACTTATCGACTAAAAGGGTTCCAGGCTATTGACGGACCAAAAAAGTTCACAACGATAGGGTGGAATGGTCAGGTAGCGGAGCTAGGGTCAACAAATTGGCCTAGCCCGCTTTCTCTTCTTTCCTATCTACCCTTGTCTGTGAATGATGTACTGAATTTACATTTTTAATTTGAATATAACTTCAAAACAATTCAACAAAAGTAACTTTTTGCTGTTACTATTAAACATTACTAATCTTTTGTAACGATTACCAAATACAAGTTACTTGTTTTAAGATATAACGGGTGAGTTACAGATGTTACTCAAAAGGTAACGATTACAGTAACACGTTGCGTTATTGTAATCGTTATTCCCAAGTTTGTACATACCTTATACAGGGTGTCTAGTTTATTTCCATTATAACATTCAAGACTAATTCCAGACTTTTCAAGACTAATTCCAGATTTTTCAAGACCAGTTTTTTCAACAATTAGTGGGTGTTGATACCAAAATGTATCGATTCTCGATTCTTGATACCGATACCAATTTTTATAGCTTAACAAAATTTTCTAAATAATACTACACCAACCCCTGTCTTTGTCATAAAGTAGTATTATGATAATGTGGTGTTTTCAAGTAAAAAAATAATGCAGCAATAAAAAATTCTAACTAGCAAATTTGGTTTTTATTATCATGAAATCTTCCGCGTACCGTACGTTTAGACATCATCATTGACTGCAGCGGTTACAGAAACGTGATCGTCGTCGTCCGCGATCACGGCAAAATCATGAACATTTCCCGCGGCCTTGTAGACATCAATTACATCATTGTCGTCTCCCGCGGTCTCAGAAACTTCATCGTCATCGTCCGCGATCGTGTCAAACTCATGAACATTTCCCGCGGCTGTTGAGACATCACCGTCATCTCCCGCAGTCACGGAAACGTTATCGTCGACGTCCACAATCATGGCAAAATCATTAGCATTTCCCGCGGCCGTGTAGACATCATTGTCATCTCCCGCAGTCACGGAAACGTCATCGTCATCTCCCGCGGTCGCGGAAATGTCATCGTCGTCGTCCGCGATCGCGACAAAATCATGAACATTTCCCGCGGCCTTGTAGACATCAATTACATCATTGTCGTCTCCCGCGGTCTCAGAAACTTCATCGTCATCGTCCGCGATCGCGTCAAACTCATGAACATTTCCCGCGGCTGTTGAGACATCACCGTCATCTCCCGCAGTCACGGAAACGTTATCGTCGACGTCCACAATCATGGCAAAATCATTAGCATTTCCCGCGGCCGTGTAGACATCATTGTCATCTCCCGCAGTCACGGAAACGTCATCGTCATCTCCCGCGGTCGCGGAAATGTCATCGTCGTCGTCCGCGATCGCGACAAAATCATGAACATTTCCCGCGGCCGAGCAGATATCATCGTCGTCTCCCACGGTCACGGAAACGTCATCGTCGTCTCCCGCGGTCACGGAAACGTCATCGTCGTCTCCCGCGATCACGGAAATGTCAGCGTCATCTCCCGCGGTCACGGAAACGTCATCGTCGTCTCCCGCGGTCACGGAAACGTCATCGTCATCTCCCGCGGTCGCGGAAATGTCATCGTCGTCGTCCGCGATCGCGACAAAATCATGAACATTTCCCGCGGCCGAGCAGATATCATCGTCGTCTCCCGCGGTCACGGAAATGTCATCGTCATCTCCCGCGGTAACGGAAACGTCAACGTCGTCGTCCGCGATCGCGGCAAAATCATGAACATTTCCCGCGGCTGTTTAGACATCACCGTCGTCTCCCGCGGTCACGAAAACGTCATCGTCGTCTCCCGCGGTCACGGAAACGTCATCGTCATCTCCCGCGGTCACGGAAACGTCATCGTCATCTCCCGCGATCGCGACAAAATCATGAACATTTCCCGCGGCCGAGCAGATATCATCGTTTCCCGCGGTCACGGAAACGTCAACGTTGTCGTCCGCGATCGCGGCAAAATCATGAACATTTCCCGCGGCTGTTTAGACATCACCGTCGTCTCCCGCGGTCACGGAAACGTCATCGTCCGCGATCGCGACAAAATCATGAACATTTCCCGCGGCCGAGCAGATATCATCGTCATCTCCCGCGGTCACAGAAATGTTATCGTCGACGTCCGCAATCACGGCAAAATCATTAACATTTCCCGCGGCCGTGTAGACATCATTGTCGTCTCCCGCGGTCACGGAAACATCATCGTCGTCTCCCGCGGTCACGGAAACATCATCGTCGTCTCCCGCGGTCACGGAAACATCATCGTCGTCTCCCGCGGTCACGGTAACGTCATCGTCCGCGATCGCGGCAAAATCATGAACATTTCCCGCGGCTGTGTAGACATCACCGTCGTCTCCCGCGGTCACGGAAACGTCATCGTCCGCGATCGCGACGAAATCATTTACATTTCCCGCGGCCGTGTAGACATCATTGTCGTCTCCCGCGGTCACGGAAACATCATCGTCGTCTCCCGCGGTCACGGTAACGTCATCGTCGTCTCCCGCTGTCACAGAAACGTCATCGTCGTCTCTCGTGGTTTCGGAAACGTCATCGTCGTCGTACACTATCGCGGCAAAATCGTGAACATCTCCCGAGGCCGTGTAGACATCATCATCATTGGCTTTCGCGGATACGTAAACGCAAGACGACGATCGCGGCAAAATCATGAAAATTCCCGACTTTGAAATCAAATTTAAGACTAAAACCCGACTTTTCAAGACCGTTTTGAAATTCAATACTAATTCCAGACTTTCCCAATTTTCCCGACTACTAGACACCCTGCTTATATAAAGCATATTATGTGCTCAACTATTAAAAACCCGAACCGATTAAAAGTAATAAGACACAAGAGGAGGAACATACCTGTCTCCGATAGAGTTTGCCACAAGAATGTTTGGATCACAGACTGCACATGTAGGTGGACAAGGTTCGCCACAGTAGCCCATACAAGGGTGATCACAGTCCAACATGCGAGGGCACGGCGCAAGACATGGAAGCCGGTCACACATTTCCCAACATCTCCTCTTACACTCTAGGTGCTCACACTTCCACTCACAACGTTTCTGAAATATCATTGTAACATTGCAGATACTAAAGTAGACATCCCATCTATTTAACCAGTTGTAGCCTATTTATAAAAAAAAAAAAAACATAATTCAAGGAGTCACTTACAGAGTCTGCTCCTTCAATTGGTTTGGATCAAAACTGGGCGTATTTGAAGAAATTACAATAAGTGATTTTTTTATTATAAACATATCAGTTAAAGTTTTGAGTAGTTAATTACTCAAACTTGAAAATAAGTCATAGTTTATGCCTGTTTTGGTGGCATTTTCATGAATGCACACTGCACCCATTTTATTCAACTATATTATGGTGACAAACAATAATAATACTGAATAATAATCTTCTTATATATTAATAGGCAAGCATGTTTCTTGAAAACTTTTTTTCTCAGCCTGTGTGCATTGCAGGGAAAATCTACGCATACTGTTAAAAAGATATTTGCCTGTAGATGTGCAGAATCCCTTTATAAATTAAAATAGGTTGAAAAATTGGCAGAAAAAATTAACTTTATTTTATAATCACAGTTTGTAGCCAATGTTTTTTGGAATAAACTATATGTTTATTCATTCATTCTATTTAAAATAAAAATAAACATATAGTCAAAACAAATTAAAGAAATTCCAATCACATGTTTTATTAACAGCGAGGGGTGAAAATAGAGAAGTGTGCACAATACATATTTTTGGTAAGTTTTTAGACCACGGGAGGTGACCTCTAGTCATAATAATGGATACAAAATCTACTAAATAAATAATTTATTAGGGCCTAATCAATATTAACTGAAAGGCATTTAAAATTTGACTGTATATTTAAAAGAAGGGACACTGAAGACATTCACAATCTCATTATGCTTAGTGGTCCAGGATCACTTATTGAATTAAGTGGTTTATAGGGTATTACCTGTCCGTCAGTGATCCTATCCTATTGTCGTCTTTGGCGACCGGTTTCGGGGTTAAAATCCCATCATCAGGCTGTTAAAAATGTCATTTCACTCAAATTGAGGTCGTCGGTTAACATAAAAACACGCACATAAAACATGAAAACACGGATGGAGAATGTACAAATATTTGTAACACGACGCGGCACGCGTAGATGTGTGGTCATGACTAAGGTGTCCTTGCACCTCTCCCGTTATCTATAGGGGTCTGCGGGTCAGACTTTTTTGGTTCGGGTCGGGTCGGGTCGGGCCGATAATTTTGGTCTTCGGGTTTCGGGCCAAAATCGGGTCGGGCCAAAAATTATTAATTAGGCCTACCGGATTTTTTTTCTTTTAACTCTGTGTTTACAATATTACTTGAAAATAAAATATGAAAAAAGATTGTATTTATGTATATTATTTCATGTTCATAACTTATTTATAGCTTAGGAGTTGAATCAACTGCAAGAAAGAAGAAAATATTTTTTTTTATCAAGCCATTCTTTCCCATTTTCATAACTGTTGAAATATCTAAATAGTTATATTACAACAAGTTTGAATTGGAACTTAATATAAAAGGATCATAAACAAATCAATTAACCTTATCACAAGTTTAGGGCCTGTGGACTGGCTTCAAGACTGCAAGTAAGAAGAAAATAAAAATTCTATGTTTCCACCAAGCAATATGAATCATTCATTCCCTGCCTCCTAACCTCCTAAGTATAAAAACCTCACATTTACAATTATTAGTTACATCATCATAAATAAAGAATTATCAGCTATTATTGGCATTTAGGCCTTCAGCTTTACATAGGAATTAATTTTTATAGTAATAGGCTAAGCAACATGACAAGTGGAGAACTCATTGAAGAAAAGATATTGTGTAAACTAATTTACTATAACACTCTAAAACAGTAAATAACACACATACATTGTTTATGGTATAGTTATAGTAAAGGCTGTAAAAATTGCATATCATGTTATACACAGTAGTATAGACCTACGGTATTGCAAGAGATTAAAATCCTAAAACAACTGATTTTGATAGCTAATAAATGAAAAGAATTAAAAATCCATAAACTCAAGTCAAACAATATCACAATTAATTAGGTAGCCTACCCGAAAAGGAACTCTTAATATAATTATAGAAAATTATATTAAATCAAGAGAAAAGAAAGTTAAATGCTAATTTAGCAACATAAAAAGCAGACAGCACAGAAATTATAGTGCCCTAATTAGCAACACAACTCAATGTTTTTATACTGTAAGTCAATGTTTTTGAAACTGTAAGGTCTTTTTCTCGGAAGGAAGGGTAGTAGAATGTAAACAAAAAACCATGAATCACACTCACAGCCAGGTCCGGGCCGCCCGGGGACACTCAAGGTTACAGACCCTCCCCCTCCCCACCCCTCTTGCACAACCCGGCTTGGGGACACTCAAGGTCATAGACCCTCCCCCTCCCCCGCCCTATTACACCACCCGGTTGTCCAATTGCTGACAAAATGCAAGTAACGAAACAAGGAAGTAGAGACAAAAAGATATATTATTTCTTTATTAAAAAATATAAAACTGTTACAGATAATTTCAAAAGAAATAAATTCATGGTAGTCTGTGTCTTGTAAATATTGTATTGGATCTTAGAAATATCCTTTTTGAAACTCAATCTAACTTAAGAAAAAATAATTTAACTGATGAAAACTTTCATAAAAATTATAAAATATTTAGACGTAACCTCTTTGTAGACTTGCTGATACTTGATACTTTTTTTAAAAATGAAATGGTGACCATACAATGCAGAACCAGACGATCAGAAGTGTTGTTTTGTTTTGTTACTGAATGACAAAAAGGACAATAGGAAAATAAAAGAACAAGATACAGATCTGTACACTATATCAGATATTTCTTTTGTTTATAATTTATTATGTAAAATACTAAAATATATTTTAAACTAGGTATGGAATAAACAATAAATAATTAAACTGGTACCTCTGGATAAATAGTCTTTCTTTTGACTTCGTTTTCTTTGCACTGTTGTGTCACGGCTTTTGTCAGTAGACGACTGGCTCTGGCTAGTGACAGTACGGCAATTGCTCTGTTGTGTCTTTGTTCTTAAACCATCGTGAGCAAACTTAATATTTAATTTGAATTTTAACGTTTTAATTCCTCTGTAATAATATATATAAGAGTGTTTCTTTGAAAATAACTTATTATAACTTTGAAAATAATAATTTAATTATTTTTTTTGGCCCGACCCGATCTTGGCCCGATCAAATCTCTGACCCGACCCGGTCTCTCGGGCCTTCCGCTGGCCCGACCCGACCCGAAAAAATCGGGGACCCGCAGACCCCTAGTTATCTATAGAATGGCGGTGGTATTGTCCTATTCTAATCACTGCGTCATAGATAATGTTGGATTTGAAATAGGTCTGTTGTTAATTTAAAGTATGTTGAAGCTCATTCTTTATGGATGTAGATCTCAAATTCTTCTAAGCAGTCCTTTTTTAGAATAATTTGAGTGAAATTACATTTTTAACCGCCTGATGATGGGATTTTAATCTCGAAACCGGTCACCAAAGACGACAATAGTGTCACTGACGGACAGGTACCTAATACAAAAATTTAATTTAAATTCATAATGCCATTGACCATTGAGATTGCAGGGACAAATGATATTTGCTTCTTTCACCGCGATAGTGAAAGTCAAATATATCGAGACTCCACATTTGCTTAATCTGTTGGTCTCAAAAGTTTCATTGAATTGGGGATCAGAATCATCATTAAGTTACCTCAGAAAGCAAACGATGGCAGAGTGTATTGTTGAGAATTGTGCAGTGATAAATTCAGTTTTTAGTCAAATTTTAGTCGACAAGTCATAGTCTTGTGAACTGATCAGAAAAGAGAAGAAAAAGCCGTTTTAGGATAAGAAAGTGGATACTTGAATGGGACGCAGAGGTGCATTGATTGATTGTTGTATCTATCGTACAGTGAACGTTCAGCAGCGTACAACTCTAGGAACTTCACAGTTTTATTGCCTTGCAATTTATAATTTAATTACACAAGTTCCTGATGACTCCGACATAACACACACACTTGACAAACACACCAACAACTACTAGGAACAAACAAAACGCCTGCCAGAAATTCAAAATTTCAGGTTGTTGAGTACTGGTCACCACTCTATTCAAGACTGAAAACCAAACCAGTTTGATCCGAAGCTTGGCCGGTCATGAACTCTCCTCACTCCTCGTGACGTCAGAGGCAAACTCGAGCGTAATTGCCACAGAGCATATTCTACGAATGTGTGATTCACACCACGTGGGTAAGCGGCTTTAAGGATATAGTCTTTTGGGAGGGATGACAAATTATAACATGGTTCTGATCATGTGTAGGGGGTAAATTTTCTAATATAATCTAACTAAACATTAGTAAATAAGCTTCACAAACGTGATTTCAGTATTCTTAAGCAGAATATTGTGGAACTCGATCACATTTAAATTTATCTTAGAATTAAAAACATCAACAATAGTTCTACTGATTTGTAGAAGCAGTAATCTATTGCATAGTAAGAACTTCATTAATTCTGGTGAGTATTGCAAATATGTGCTACTATAATAAGACTGATGCTTACATTACAATACTCAGGGCAAGGTTGACTACACCAATGTTGTTTTTTCTTTTTATCTTGCGGATCAAAGCATTTTTTATGTGAACATTGAATTGGACATCTTGTTTTACAAGGAGGACACAGTACACTGCATGTGCTCCCACACCTAAAACACAACAAATAACATTGATAACACAAGGTTGAAGGGATAAAGGGTAATAAAAAATACCTTAATAATCTAAATTGTCAAGTTAAAAAAAATATTTTAGCTGTTAAGATGAAAAAAGTTAGGCAAGAAAATTTATATCTACAAGATAAAAGAGGAACTATGTATGTATGTATGTACCTTATGGACTCCAAAACCGCTGGACAGATTGTAATGAAACTTTGAGGCATTATTAAGCATTATTCAAGGATGGTTTGTGTGAAGTTTGGTGCAGATCCGTCAAAAGGTCTCCGCCCCAGAGAGTTTTAAGGGATCCAATGTCAGATGTTTGGAACTACAATGTTTAGAAATAAATGTAATTTAAAAGCAGATGTTTACTTTCACCAACTGTTTTGTAGGTTTCAATAATCACAACATTCTGTATTAGTCATGATATGAAATAGTGCCACACTGTTTCCACAGAATGCAGTACAGAGAACTATTTTATTTTTGGATAAGTCTAAATACAGGGTGGTCATAAATTATTGGACACATTTTAAGATTACATAAACCAATAACCAAGCAACTTAGAAACTTGGGAATTGTTTTATTGAATGGCAAATTTAAAATAGTTTTACCTAACCCGCCATGTTAAACTTCCCTATCCCAAGCGTGATGTATATAACTTCGTTACTTCTCGGGTGATGTAAAGTTGAAAAAAACTCACTCGGTGATGTAATGAAACCCATTTAAATAACATTGAGTGCTTAACTTAAAAAATATACCTCTATGGAGCCAACGACGTTCAACGCTAGAAATCAGCTGTGCGCTTGATTTTTATTGTTATGTTTTGAAGAATTTTCCTAACCTAGCTTTTGTTTGTAAATGAACGTTACTGTTAGAAGATGAGTGAAATGGGTAATGAAAAATATTATTCGTAACCTCCTGTATATTGTCGGGTCAGGTAAAATCTTGTACGTTACACGTTACGCAAGAGCGTGTTTACATCACTTCGGTAAATTATGCAACTCGCTTCCGCTCGTTGCATACAACATTCACCTGCGTGATGTAAAAACGCTCTTACTACACTTGTAAGGTAAATAGCTACTATACAGTAACTGCAAAACAATAATTACATGAATGTCAATAATTATAAAAAGTGGTTATACAAATGTGCAAAAATCACTCAAACAGTTTGTGTAAGTTTTTTTCCTCAAAGACTCGTGTTGTGGCATATACAGCATGGATAGCATGGCATAGTTAGCATGGCAAAACCAACAATGGACCTTTCTCCACCAGCTGTGTATGATATTTGGTGAATCAAACCTTAAACTGACTTAAAAGTAACAATTTTACTAGGGTTCAATAAAAAGCAAAGTCTTTGGTTTAATGAAAGTAAATCCGCAATAACTGTTCAAAGAAGGTTTTGTTTAGAGTATAGCCCTAATTCTCCGTGTAAAAATTTTATAAAATGGTGGTACAGTCAGTTCGAACGACTGGGAAGTGTCCAACATATAGTCTAAAGGGTCCTCATCTCAAAAGAACATAACTTACAATAACAGTTTAGGTGATTTTGACTGTGTTTTTTCATACTACTTTACTTTTTTTAACTACTTTTCATAATTGCTGACATTTTTATAATAAATTTTTTGTAGTTACTGTATAAAACTGTTTTAAATTTGCTATTTAATGAACCAATTTCCATGTTTCTATGTTGCTTGGTTTTTTATTTATGTCATCTTAAAATGTGTACAATAATTTATGACCACCCTGTATATTAAGCCCCAATTGCAGCACACCTGTGCACTCAACAACGTTTAAATTCTCCAACATTAAATATGTAAACATAAAAGGGTAACTTATGCCTAAAATAAAATTATATACCTAATGAAAAACAAAAATATTGTTTATCCACTGACAATTAAGTAAAATAAATATACAATTTTTGTTTTTGGTATAATTTTTTATTATTTATCGTACAGAACAAATTACCATTTAAAATAATAGTTGTTAAGCGCAGCAACACACGCCAGGTAGTACTTGATTAAATTTTACAAATGGACTGCAAGTTTGTGCTTAGTAAAAGAGCTCTTATCTGCAAAAAATACTGGTTTGCTATCAGTTGTTCATAACGGTTCTTATTATACTTTTAAACAGTAAACTATTTTTAAAAGAACACAATTGGCAGGATTCTTGAGATTCTTTCAATTCAAACTTGGTATAAAGGTTTCACTCTGATGTCAGTGACAGTGAAATATTCTTCTAATCATTCATTTTTTTAAATGCCAGTTTGGACTCTTTTCTATTCAAATAAGCCTGCTGTCCACACAAAAATCCTGATTACTGTGTTAGCAAGGATTAAGGAAGTATTGTATTTAGTAATGGATCGGTTGCCAAATTTATCGGTTTGGTTTTTATTAAATCAGTTGTCAGCTGTCAATTTTTTAGTTTTCACCTTTAAATTGAATTTTACTATGTACTTACCCGAAGGTAGTACACATGCTTAAACATTTTTAACTAATGCTTTAAGTGGAGGCCATTATATTTTGGAGACGATAAGGTTACACAACGTACCCTGAACTTAACACGTTATGGCATCTATAAAATTTACAACTAAAAGTCTAGTTTAAAACTACAGTACAGGATTTTATAACAATACAAGGTAAGGCAGTAACAATGTTGTAGAAAAACTGCAATTGCATCATTACCCAAATAATAAATAATGACTGTCGGAATCTAATAAAACGGGGCAAAATTGATGCACAACAACTGAAACCTATAGACCAAACTGATTTTTTATGTTAATTTTTCGATTTTTGATTTTTTAATAAAAACAGGTCAAACTTAACCGACATTATAGTTATTTGTGCAACTAGTGAGCAAAGGATTTCTCTCGAGTGAGTCAATTGCACTTTGCACTCGAGTTGCACATTATATTTTTCCTACAGTTACCATAAAACAAATAAATTGGTAAAGAAACGTGACATATTTTTTACACAGAAGTGAACTTTTAATATTACATTTTAACGATACAACAGTACAACCAGCTGACCAGCTGATTTACAACCAGTGCTGCCAAACGTATTTCGCGCGCATAAGACCTTGTCTGCATGTTACGCGCTCACTATTTCTTGCCTTGACGTTGCAAATCTGGAGTGAGTGAGACAGAGTAATTTAGAGTGAGACATTGTCTCACTGATGAGCGAATTGGCCACTTTGCTTTCTCAAATCAGTGAGAGAACATGTACATTGTTAGGTAACTGTAGGAAAAAAATAAACCCATCTTTAATTATTAATTGTATTCCATTTTAGATCTATAACGACTTTGTAGGTGGTTCACATGTTGAGATTAATTGAACCCTTTGCCATCAGAAACTGAAAGATAATTTTTTCCGGTGAGCTCGTTTGGGTAAGCAGATGTACTGGCTGCGTACGTGGGTCACTGTAGCTTATATAAACACTGGTTGTGCTTAAAAAAGGCCAATACTTCAGACTAACAAGGAAACACAAGAATGCTGGGAAGGCCAGCAGCACTGGATGTGTAGCCATATGGTAGTGATTTTAATGGGAGGGTTTGAAAATAAAATAATATTGAACTGGTAGGGGCTGTCTTAGAGGTAGCCGAGCTAATAGGTAGATAAAGATGGATAGCCTTACCCACTGTTTATGTCAGCAATGTAGCCCAGTTAAATTAGAATAATCGGGTGAAATAATTCCCGGAGAGTTGGAAATTTGTTTAAACGTTCCTTTTGTTCATTAGATTGAAGAAAATAAAAAGTCCTGATGGGTGGGTTTCGAGCTTGACTAAGGGAAGGGCTCTGAATGCGACTTCTTTTAGTTTTTCGCTTATATATCGGAATCTGTAAGTCATATTGAAAAGTGTTAAATACAAAACTTATAGCTGACAAAATTCCCTACAAAAATGACACTATGCATTTTTTTGTACGACTTAACCGTTTAAAGCTAAAGGGTGAAGAAAATAACAGTATATTAAAATCGTGTTTTATTTGCATTTCTGTTTTTAAAGTTAATATTACTAAAAATAATTTAAATGATTACAAACATGGGTCATGTCGTTTAAACTAGGGGATACAGGGATTCTTCAGTGTCATACACATTTTTGAATTTTTTTGTAGGACTTAACCGTTTAAAGCTAAGGGGTAAATAAAATAACAGTCAAATCAAATCAAATCAAATCATTTATTATCATGGACATTTACATGCATTGACATTGTCAGTGGAGCAGAACATAAAATGGGACCGCGTCTCGTTGTCCCTCCGTCTCGTTGTCCCTCCGTCTACTTGTACCTCGAGGCCTAGGGACAACTAGTCGTAGGTACAACTAGACGTAGGTACAAGTAGACGGTGGCTCACCCGACTAGTTGTACCTGCAGATTTTTAGGAGGTACAACTAGACGTAGGTACAAGTAGACGTAGGTACAAGTAGACGTAGGTACAACTAGACGTGTATCCCACCGACAAGTAGTATCACGTAGCTTGTACGGATGCGACCAGTTGTCCCTACGACTAGTAGTCTCTACGACTAGTAGTCTCTACGACTAGTGGTCCCTCCGTCTAGTAGTCCCTACGTCTAGTTGTACCTACGCGTATTTTGCGTCCTTATAGTCTAGTTGTATCCATCCTTCAATTCGTTACCCTGTTTAATTGATTACTGCACGAGTACTTTTTAATAATACCCTTAATTAAATCAGGAACTGCAGTCGATTGAGTATGATTGGCAAATATTTTTCACCGCAATACGATGTTTTAGTAGTTTTACAGACGTTAATTGGAGGCTGAAAGCTACGCATTGCTGTCCAGGGTCGAAATGGCAGCTATAGTTGTGATTAAAATTTTCCAGCCCTAGTACCGAAAATCGCTTATTTAATTAAAACATTTATATATCTATATAAATAAAATTAGAGTTTTGTCTGTACATTGCTCAGAATTATATATTTTTAGGTTATTTTTACGTCTTATACATTAAATAAGCAGAAACGAGTCTTATCTCAATTTCTGTC